AAGATACAAATTTAGCACATTGGTTAATATATTAGTTGAAAACAACATGTTAGCAATATGTGTATTCATTAAAAATTATTTGATACGTCATCAATCCATTATGAGTGAAATGTATAATGAAGATGAGATTTTAATTTTTTATATTTGTTGATAAAATCTATATAATAGAAAAAAAAATTATTTTTAGTATTTTTTATCTTCAGAATTGTGTTTCATCTTTGAACTATTTTTGTAATTTCAAATGTTACAATGCCAATGCCAGTAGAAGTAACTTATTCTTTCTTGAATATGAATGAGATTTCATAAAATAACAAAGTTGAAATAATAGTGTTTAATTCTTAAATCATATGATAACTAGCAGAGTTTATTGATTTTCATGTATGAAGAGTTGTAAAATAAAACTTGTGATTTTGCACACATGGAAATGTTTAATAGAAATTCAATATCACAAAAGTTGATCTTTAATTTGTTTGACATTCATACTTTGTTTCTTAATTTGTTAATGTGCAATGTAAAAAATTGAGTTGCAAATTTTATGACTTGAGTGATAGAGTCAAAAATATCATTGAAAATTCAAATTTTTAGTTTATAATATAATTAAATTTTAATCATCAACATTTTATATAAAATTAGAACAATATATTGATTGCAAAATGTGAAAATATTCTTGTAAAACAATTATGATAAAAAATACTATATTATTATTATAGTATTAATTTAACTTTTTTAATTCATTTGTTGAAGTTTGTATATTCATCAATCTTACTTTGTATAAGAATGAATGACAAAAAGCATAAAAACATTATTTGACATTAATTATATACTTAATATCATCATGGCTAAAACAAAAAAGTTGGTAAAAGCAAGAGTATAGTGATATATAGAGCAGTTTGTCATAAAAAAATAAAATATCTTCATTGGATAATGAGAACTAAACAAATAATAAAACAAACAGCTCAAAATCAAAAATTTAAATCAAATCAATGACACTACATAAACAAATAGAATATGACTTGAAGACATTGCGCATGAAATCAATTTTTTTTTATATTTAAACAATCATGTAGCATGAAAGCAGACAAGAATAGTTGAGCACTAAAGGTTTTAAAAATTTTGATCATAAAGATGAATAACATTTGTCTCAATTTTATGTTTCTAAATATATTTCAATAATGTTTATGATATCTTATTTTATGTATAAGATGCTTCTATAATACATTATGTGTGTACGAATATTGTTAAAAAAATATTTTTTAATTTGTGTTGAATTAAATCCTTTGTAGATATCTACAAAGGATTTAATTTATTGATTTAAAAAAAATAAAATAAATTGTGATACTTGACACATAAACAGAACATACATTAATATTTAAAAAAAAATTATCTTCAGATATTTATCATATATAGAAGAAACAAAATAAAATTTAGATATTAAACAAGATTTGAAACATCAAATACACAATGAGATAAAGATAAACAATTCAGTATTAATGAATGAAACAATTACAATCATTTAATAAATTTTGAGTATTCGTGTAATCACACGCAGTGAAATATCAAATAACATTTGTGATTTATTTGGTAAGATGCTAATGAATTGAAAAAAAAATTGTTGTAAAGAAATTTGTGCATCATCACAAAAATTGACACAAAAATTTGAAGGTGAAATTTAACACCATTGATTCCAAATTTACAAGTAAAAATATGTAAAAAAAAATGGAATGTTTCAAGAAGAAACAAGAATTTGTTATAATTGTTCATTTTATACATTGAAATGATAGATCACAATGTCAAGTTTTACCAAACTTGACAAAGATCAAAAGAATAACGTTCAATGTAAAGATGATCTTTCAATAATATTACCCTATTATAAGTACAAAGAAGCTCATGAAGTAGTTTTGAAAACAAAAATTATTAAAAAAAATTATTCGTGGTCTTACCGTGCTCCACAAAACAACACAAAGATGAGTATAGAAGAATATTATTATTCGAACATTATGGAAGAAATAAAATGTAAATTCAACTATTTGTCATTGATAACACGTTAGAATAACACAAGATGAAAATTTTGATTAATCCTGAATCACAAAAAATCTTCTATCATAAAATGTTGCAATGAAATTAAAATTGAGTTTGAAAAATGATTTGAATAAGAGTTGAAATTACAAAACAATCAATTTTAAGCAATATAATCACTATCATAAAATGCATAATTTTAGAATCATACAATAACTAGATTGAATGTAGGATAATTTTTTAAACTTCATAAGACATCATTCAAAGTAAATCATGAAGTAAATGATGCACTTTAAAATTAGATTAAAGTAAAAAAATGATAAAACATAGCAAGAAATGAATTTATGAAGGTAGACTTAAATATTGAAGTACAAATTTAACTCTTTTAGTGATAGATAAAATATTAGTTTGCATAGATGATATATGTTTCTTGTAACTTATTAGAAATATAATCAAATGCGAAAAAATATTACATTCCAAACAAAGTTTTAGTAACTATAAATATATAATTCTAGACAATTTACTTATTATATTATTAAAAAAACATGTACATCACAAAAATTCATAACTTGAAGCATGCCAATTTGCAAAGTTTTATATCATTTGGCTACAAACAAATAGGAAAAAAACAAATTTTGAGTGGAGAAGATATTGATCAAACGATTTATTCAACCAAATGTTCATTTTTCAAGTACTTCAACGCTATTTGTGAAAAAGAAAGATGGAATCATAAATTTACACATTGATTATTGTGGTGGAATCTACAAAAGCTGAAGAACAAGCATACATTTTCTTATATGAAATACTTGACTCATCAACTGCATAAAACTAAATATTTCATCAAATTAGATCTAAAGAGCAAATGCAACTAATTTTGAATTGCAAATAAAATTTGCATAAAATTCTTACACTATGCAAGATCATTTTGATTATCAAGTGATATCTTTCAATCTTCCTAATTAAACAATTATATTTATGAGATTGACTTACCTTTTTTTTATCCTTATCAAACAAATCAATTATGATAATATTAAAGAGGATATAATGAGATTTGAATAATTATCGTCATCATATAATATATGTTGATGACCTTAATTTCTCAAATAAATATCTCTATAATTCATCATAAATATTAAATTGATCATAAATTCATTTCAAAATCATGTCATTATATTTTTACACATTATATATCAATCAGAAAAAAAATATTATCAATATTTTTATTAAAAATTATATAATGTTTTAATATGGATAATAATTAATAGAAATTTATTGAAATCATTGTATCACATCCAAAACATATGCAAGTAATTATATATCATAATTATAAAAAAATAAAATTAGATTCATTATTTAATCACTATTTTTAAAAAATGGTTGTCTTCATGTTTACATATAAAAAAATCAAGAATCTATCTCTTTAAAATAATTTTTATAATCTTGCATGATAAATTTTAGTTCTTTCATTATGACATTAACTCTGAAAATAATTCATGAATGCACAACATTTAATTATAATTAAACTATTAATTGCAACAATCATATTTGCTTCTGCATATTTGTATATAGCAAAGAACAAAGATTTTAATAAAAATTTTTAAATTGCAATTGAATGATATATATTGCAAGAGTAATAGGTTATAAATACTTACCTAATCATCAATTCAGAATATTTAATTAATCATGTCAATCATTTTAAAACATCAAAAGTTTCAATCTATAAGTTTATTTCAATGATCTCTTTTATTAAAATATATTATAATTTTTTTTTAAATTTAATGAAAAATCAATAAAATTTGATTTAAACTATCTATTCTATCTTTAGATAAATTGATCTAATCACATATTTGACATTGGCATAATCTGTTTTATATCAATATTATATCTGTACATGAACTAGGAAAAAAATTGGATATATCACCTTATACTAAAAGACATTGTATATATTGATCACTGTACTTTTCTTTCTGAATATATCAAATGTAATACCTTAGAAGTCAAACATTGAATTATGAGACTAGTTGTGATGTTAACATGTACAAGTTTGATAATTTTTGAGATGAATCAAGTTTGTATCATCAGTATAGTGAAGTAAAATGTTTTGAAGTTATGTTTTAGCTTTCTAAGCCATTAAGAATGCACAGTTTGATTCGTTATAATTGGCAATCAACTTTGCAAAAGTAAAATTCATGTGTTGATTACTTCTACTATTGATAAACTAGTTTTATTTTTGAGTGAAAAATAACAATAAATTAAACTTGGCAATGTATCAATGAATGATAGTGTTATCAACTAGTAGCAAATCTGAACGCATCATGCTGTCACTAAATGCCGATGTTGGAGAACATACATGATGTATTTTGTTCAATCAAGAAAACTTTGTCTATATTAACCTGTTTTGAGATTCTCATGCACAACTGGGTGTATTAAATGAGAAGGTATAGTTTGATTCACAATAAATAAATAAATAAATATATATGAGAGTTGACGTTTATTCTCGATTTAAACATTATCTGGAGATCTAATGATGCATCTGCATGATACATAAGTGAGAGTTTTGTTGGTACAGTGTGCGGTTGAACACTATAATCACCTTCCCATAATAACACGATACTTGAGATCAAGAAGATTGATGTTCTATTGAAAGATTGTTAGTAACCCACGGTTAGATCATTGTGCGGTATGAATTGATGAGAAAATTCTATGATTATTATTTTGGACATTTTTGAATACACAGTTTGGTATTTATGCAAAGAAATGACAAATAAGATGCAAACGTATTTTCTCGATAAAAAAATCCGAATTCTTCTTTTAGATTCTCTTTCTATCGTAGATACTTAACTTTTTTATTTACAATAGATATATTATTAAATTAATTTTAAGATGCAATTATCTTAGGCATGAACCAGAAGAATTGTGGAAAGTAAACATTAACAAATAGCACTTCACAATTCGGTGATTCAGAATCCGTTGTGAGTTCACACTAGCCTCCTCAAGACGAACTACAGTCAGCCGGATTCCCGGACTGTGCATAACGGTTTGTGGGGTCTTTCCTGTGAGCTCAGATTATGCAAATCGAATTAGTGCACTGCTGAATTTCGTGCTCGGGAGCTCAGCAAAGTTAGAGATGGCGATGGCCACTCTCAGAGTCCAGAGTGGTGGATTTTCCAGCGTCCTGTCATCGTCCTCTGTGCGCTTGTTGCGCTCCCAATGTGTTCGCCGAGTGGCAGTACAGCAGCTTCGAATTCATGCTCGAACTGAGTTCTCGATTGAATCTCCTTATGGTCCCCAGGTACTGCTCCGCACGCTTTCAAATTCAGGTTGTCGATTGAGTTTCTCCACGGACTTGCTGTCCAGGTGGTGTTGGTGGAAACTAGTCTTCATGTTCCATTTCCTCATGTTCTCACTTTAAAAGATTTGACCATTGCTGGTCTATACTGGGTTTCAGGATTTAAGCGAATGTGTACGTAAATTCTAATAGTCGAGCTTCATTAGCAAGCAGTCCTTGAATCCAACAATGCTGCATGATTCACAGCAGGTCTGTCCGGAGCCTATTTGCAAGTGAGCTTTATGGAGCTTAGCTTAATTTGAAATTCTGAAAATTCGAGCAGTGCGGATCTGTCTGACCCTCTTAGATATAAGCAGTTTGCAGATGGACTGTGACGGCGAGCTTTCGTCGCAATGTAGGCTCTTACTCGTTAGATTCTGCTCTGGAAGAATCGCCGAGAGTTTCTTCAGAGGTAGGCCATATGTGAGCAATCCTTGGCAGACTCGTCTAGGCAGGCCAGACTGTTTCCAGATAAGAAAATAGCTCTCGTGGGGATTGAAGCGGACTGCAGGTTGCGTATAATATGAGGCGGCGGAAGATGAAGGACGAAATGGGAAATTGGAGGCATGTTGACTGTGTACTCTGTTTGATGCCAGGTTGCTGATGCTGTGAAGGCTTTGAGGCCTGAGTTTGAGGACGTCGACACATTGGTAGCAGTGAATCTGAATCGTGTCATTAAAGCGTACGCCAATGCCCGAGTCGGATCGCATGTAGGATATTCATTTCTCCAAGCACTCAATTTTGATGTTGAGTTTGCAATGGCCAGAACGTAGTGAAGGTTATACGGAGCATCGTACGAGGACTTGTGTGAAGCGTTATTTTTGGGTCGTACAGCACTGGCACGGGATGTTGTTAACTTACTCGCTTGATGGTGGTCAGCATTTCTCCGGGACAACAGGTTACGGTCACAATGATGCTGGTGGTCGTGAAGCATTGGATCAAGCATTTGCAGAAATTGTCGGTGCCGAGGCTGCAATTGTGCGCTCGCAAGTAGGACACTTTTCTCAAATATACACCTTTTATGTCAACATTTATCTCGTGATGGTTCTGTTCCTATGAACAGAAACATCAGTTTTTCACCTTTTTTTCGCTTCTGTTGACGAGCCCTAGCACGGGACTTGTGTACTTATTCATCGTGCAGTTCTTTTCAGGCACACACGCAATTGCTTGTGCACTCTATGCTGCCCTACGTCCCGGTGGTGAGGTAAGCTGCCGAGTACCTACTATGTTACTCTTCAGTGTATGTTTCTAATTGATTTTCCGCTTCTCATTATCTGATTGGAAGAACCCTTTTTTTTTTTTTTTTGAGAGATAGCTGATTGTCTTGTTCCAGCTGCTGGCAGTGGCAGGAGCCCCTTATGACACTTTGGAAGAAGTAATAGGTCTGCGCGGATCAGCAGGGGAGGGATCCCTGAAGGAATTTGGAGTGTCTTATCGAGAAGTACCAGTAAGTTCTAAATGTAGCTCTCGGTCTTCTCAATGCTGATGTTAGATCTTCGTTCATGAAATGCTCATAGTTGCAACTTTTCAGTTCATTGTGTTGGAGAATGGCGTGTTCGAGTTTCCTTCAGTCTAACTACCTGCATGCAAAGTTGTTACTCACGAAGTTGCTTATCAAATGCATTAGGATATCAACCAGTTCTAGCTGGACTAAGCTCTTCTTCCGTTTTCTATCCTTATCTGAAGCTTGCAGAAGATGGTGGTTTAGATTGGCATAAGCTGAGCCAAGCAGTAAAGCCGGAAACTCAGTGTGCCCTTATTCAGCGTTCTTGTGGCTATTCATGGCGTAAGACTTTGACCGTGGCAGAAATTCAGCGTGCAATTGAGTTGATCAAAGCAAGTCTTGAGCCACTTTTCTTCTTGTTTTCGTCTTTTCAACTGCCTTGGATTATGCACAAACGTAACTCCAATGACTGTCTTTTATAGTCGGAAGATCTCATGTGCTCGATGTTGCAGTTATTGCTGTATTTATGGGGTGAAGCTTCCGCATTGCTTTCTTGTTGTTGCAGGCTCAAAATCCGGATTGTGTTATAGTGGTCGACAACTGCTATGGAGAATTCGTCGAAGCCATTGAGCCCACGGCAGTGGTACTAAGTTCTTCTTCCTTCCTGTTGACCCCACATGCCATTGAATGCTCGGTGTATTTGTTTTATTTAACCTTCATGGAGAAAAAGAAGAGAAGAAAAACAGAATAAAGCTAATTGATACTTGCCATCCAGGGAGCGGATTTAATGGCTGGAAGTCTTATAAAGAACCCCGGAGGGACGATTGCTCCATGCGGAGGTTACGTAGCCGGGAAGTCTAAGTGGGTCCAAGCAGCTGCAGCACGATTATGTGCTCCTGGAATTGGGATGTCTGCTGGATCCACACCAGGGGATGTCATGAGGCTTCTATTCCAGGGTTTGTTTTTGGCACCACAAATGGTTGGCGAATCAATCAAGGTGGGGGAATCTCGTCTTTTTTTCGTCCAGAGACCTGTATAGTGCAAAAGACATCTGAACGATCATTTCGCATTCAAGTTCTTTTCTCTAAGGTTCAAATTCTTCCGTCCTTCAATTTTGTGGCAGGATATTTCTGCTTATAAGAGTGAGCTCAAAGTCCGAGGTCCCAGATTGATATGCGCTCGTATTGCTCGTTTGCAGGGTACTTTGCTTGTAGCGGAGGTTATGGCAGCAGAAGGATTCGATTGCCGACCAGCTCCGCGCGTGAGGCGCAATGATATCATACAGGTTAGTTCTTTTTTGTCAGTGTAAATAGGAAACTTTGTCGCAGGGTTAAGTTTTTGGTTATCCATCAAAATGGAGACGTCAGTCTGTTTGAAAACACTGCAACTCTTACATACCAGTCTCATTCCTCCGAAAGCAAACGGACTATCGGAATGGAAAGGAAATTTGTGCATGAAATTCAGTTCATATTTTTGTTGTTTATCTTGTGTTTTTGCCAGCAGTGCATAATTCACGGAACGAGGTTCTGAACATGTGCAGGCAGTACAGCTGGGCAGCAGAGATCGATTGTTAGCGTTTTGTAGAGCGGTTCAAAAGAATTGTCCTGTAGGATCCTACATTCAACCTGTAGCTGGTGCAACGGCCGGATATGAATCAGAGGTTCCACGATTCACGCGCTCCTTACAGTCTTAGCATTGTACAAAACTGTATCCACTTTTGAACAGCTAGATTATTAATATAGCCATGTACGTATTTTTATGAGTAAGTCGTTCATGCATGCAATGCATCCAAATTGGACTGTCCTGCACTTTTTATGACTGGAAATCTGCATCAAACCAAATGTGTGGAGTGGTTTAATTTTGTATGCAACTCACCTGCCTTGCGTACACGTAATTTTGCAGGTTGTTTTTGCAGATGGTACTTTCATTGATGGAAGCACAAGTGAGGTCTCATGTGATGGTCCTTTGAGGGAACCGTTTGTTGTATTCTGTCAGGTTTGGCCCGCAAGCCTCCCCATCTTTGGATTACTTCAAATTGTTTGTTCCGAACTTTGTTCACTTGGCACGTGTGGTTTGCATGATTCCTAGTGCATCACCTTCCTCCAGGCTGCTATATCCCAGGCTAATATGAAAGTCTGTTGCGCATCAGGGTGGCACTCATTGGACACATTGGGCACTAGCTCTTGAAGGTGTGGTTCAGGCTTTGAGGCAGCTGAAATAGACTTCGAAACCTCTTAGATAGCTCCACAAGTTTGATCTCAAAGCTCAGTCGAATATTCAGACGCATCCAGTAACATACAACAAACAGTTCAGATTTCTCGTACATATTTACCGCAACGCTCAGATAGGGCCGATGTACGGTCTTCAGGCTATGACAGGGAAACATTAGGGAGGATTTACGGTTTACGGTTTGATTTGCCTCTCCTTTGAGTATTATCTTGAGAATCCTTCTGCAAACGAAGCGTTTGGAGTTGGGGCACTGGGAAAAGTACTCCCAAATGCTACTTTCCATTCTCAGTATGTCTCTTGTAAACTTCGTGAAGTATGTCTACACGAAGATCATCAGGCCTTTGATAGGAAGAGGAAATTGTAGATCAGTGAACTGTAACCTGCTGGTTACAATATCGTGGGAGTATCTTCAACGTAAAAATGTTCAGAATTTCCTCAACAAAATTTCATCCGCTTACAATTTGAGGTGCTACCTCTTGCTCTTCAATGGTCCGAGATAAACTTCCTTATTGTGCTTCAACCTCCGTTCTTTTTGCTTGTTTGAACAGTTCATCTTCAAATCGTGTTAATGTTCTTTCTCGATTGTATGCATTGAGCTGGTTATGCCAGCATGAACATCACTAAATGTCCTGAGAAATGACCGCTTGTCAGAAAGTGACCTTGTAACCAGAACGCTCTCCACTTATACCTCAGCCACACATTTGCCGTGACCAATTTGCTCCACAGGTTTGCCGATGAAAGCCTGTGGAGTTTTTTTAAATCTATCAACTAACTGATGAAGTCACACGTTGATTTTTCCTTGTAAATCCAGATGTGGTGGAGATTTGCAGATGAAGAGGTAACCATGGATCTCAGGAAATTTTCTAGCCTTACTCTCTCGATAATTCTACGTCTTCCGTTCTGTACACTCTTTGAAGACTGGCCTCGACAGTCAAGCCATTGCGTCTGCGAGGTCTACTTCATATTTTCCTGTCTGCTTGTATCGGGGCCTGCTAGCATTACTGTCTCATTACGGTCTATGTCTAAGTGTTCAAAGTGTGGAAGATCGAGCTACTTGCTTCTGAATTTCAAGAATCACTACAAGAACTACGTCAAGAACCCTGAATCTTTGAATAGAATTCACCAACCCTACTATGTCCATAAATGTTGATTAGGACAACTATTATTATCCCACACAGAAATCTCATCTCGCTCGCAGCCAGCCCGAGGCTCATCAAAGCTCGCACTTGGAGCTGAATGGAGGTACCGTTGCCATGGTAGCACACGAATAACCACTCTTTGATGGGAAGCTGAATCAGACAGAAGTGTGCTGTGATTGTATCTAGAGATGCAATTACTGCAAGTAAGAGCCGGCGAGCACGTACAACACTGCATTCACGTCGGGGTCGGAAACCTGGTAGGATGCAACTACTTCTTTGGGAATGATCGACTATGACTTGTGTACACGGAAGATTGCCTTCTTTGTCTACTTCGTCGTCAACCCTCCGTCGAGTCGTTACGCTTCCGACAAGTTCCTGCCGGGAAGATAATTGTCACAATCTGTTCTTCCAAAGAGCACTTCTCTTGTACGAGAAAGCTCATATCAGCAAATTGGAATTCCTACAAACTTCCTGGATCTCTGCTTCACGTAACAACTGCCAAGATAAGACAGGGTGGAAACAGAGCGTAAGGTGTCCTTGCAACCAATGTCCACACAATCACTTGTGGTGATTTTGGACGTAGAGGTATGAATTCACGAAGCTGCAGTGAGATTAAAGTTCTCAAAATACATCATTCTATTCTTGAAATATAATCCTTGCCACGTGAAGCGAAGAACTAAGTCTTTGCTGCCCATTTTTCCTACTCTTATCAATGTTTTTTCATGACGTTTTTTTTCTTCATTCGTTTGAGACTCCATCAAAAAGTATATTTGGTTCTTAACCATACCCTACTGAACTTTGAACTTAAACTCAGAAGGCCGCTTGCAGTTGAGTCATAATTTCAATGAACGTTCCGAATGGGACCCATTCTTTCCTATACTATTTAACTTAATCCAAAGACTGATACAATAATATCATCTCGGATACTTCCAAATATCAGTTTATCTACTGTATCAATACTCCAGTAGGAGAGTCCCACATATGGCTAAATATGATCAGGCGGGTGTTAATTGTGTTACTATGAAAAGAATTTCACAAAAACCTTGGACCTTGTTGGAAATAGATCCTGTAAAATTTTACACGATCTACACGTGTCTAACAAGTACTAACCCTCGGAATACACTCTACATAAGAAACTTGTGAAAAAACATTTGTTTCTGTCTTCGTACTTGAGACTTTCCTCGGTTTTATCTTTAAGAGATCTCAACCTTTATACCTTCACCAACCATTAACAAAGTAAGGGGAAACACTCTTTTCCATTTTTTATGACTGTTATGTATGAACATGGTTATAAATTCTTAGATGAAAGGTGCATCATGAATGTTTATGCGTCATGAAAGCTCCCCACGTGAAAGAATTCAAGCTACATTCAAAGATAAGATCATTTACTCACAATCATATCGAACAAATCTGGACCTTCACATGAACTACAGCCAGTAAGGATCACCAACAATGCTTTGGGTTGATAAATCTTAACATTGTCAGGTTCTTTGATCTTTATATAAAAATTTTGAGATATTTTGGGACAATCGAATTAGCTATCGCATGAGGTTGAAGATTTTTTCATATATTCAAATAAAAAACAAGGTTGCAAACACTGATCCAGTTTGAGTACATCGCATGGCCAATATAGATAACGATGTCTCGAATCCAAAGAAAGCATGTTTTTGCTTCTTTCTAGTTGGCTGAAAGAACATTTCAACTTCCCTGTAAAGTAACTGAGCCAATCATGAAAATGTACTGCGAGAACTGTTTACTACAAGAACTGTCATGAAATTTTCAAAAGTCATTGGCGTTTTGCTTTATTGATAAATAAATGAAGACTGTGATCAAGTTTCCTCACCCAGTATTTCGAGAAGAGAATACAATTTGTGTACAAGAATGTCAAATTGCAATTGAAAATTATCTCTTGTTGCCTCTTGTACGTTAAAACCTCTTGTACGTTTTAATGTAATCACGAACGGTTTCAAATATTGCAAGCCAGCTCCAAGGGAAGAGTCGAGGCATTGTAACGCTATTCTTCTATACAGAAACGGCTCGCTGAAGTCTGCAACCTTGAAACCGCCACTTGTCGTGGCGTAAGCTTTCATGGAATCAGTAGCTAGGTCAAACACTGCATTTGTAAGTAAAAAATCCTCAATAACCAGAATTGGAAAACATATCATTGTCACAGTCACTGTTCTAACTTTCTGTTAATAATCAACATGTTGTATGTGCTTGATTACTACGTTGGCACTTTTCATACTTATCGCAAAGTTGCATCCCAAGACCAAAAAAGTCATCAGTGCATTGCAATTACTAATAGAGAAAAGTAAAATGTCGGATTGTCAGATTAGGATAGGGTGTACGAATATCTACCTCTGATCATAGATTGAAGAAACTCCATGCTTGAGCAAACTCTATGCGGCAAAGATCATGTGTCAGCCATATGGGTGAATCATAAAAGCAAAATGAAATCTTGAATCCGGCATCCATCTATCTGCATACCCAGCAACAAGCTTGTTGCTTTCTTAAATCAGAGCAGAGCAGTAAAGTCTCCTGGCTATCACAGTTCTGCACTTCACGCAATAAGGATTAGTACAAAGAGATTAGCTCAAAAATTACAAAAAACTTACGCAGAATGACACTTTAATCATCAACAGCCCCATGACAACAACTTAATATCGAGAGATAGGAGACACCATTACCGAGTTGTACTTCTCCACTCGCCCCATGCAAAACATTCGCCGCCGACTAGCGTTCACTGCTCAAACTTCTGCACCAAGAAACGTAAACTGAATGCAATACACAATCAAATACGCAGTGTTGTACTCGATGTGAAAATGGAAGAAAGTAAAAGAGGGCGGAGCAATTTTGTAGCTGCCCTGTAGCGGTACGTGCATAGTAACAAGGACGTAAGGGCAGCGGCCTTGGAGCTGTTCGGAAAAAGTTACATTCTTTGGAATTTAAATCCAGGAAAGCCAATGTGAAATGTGCAATGTTGCTGTTGATTACCATCCCGTAGAATTGAGTTGAAATGCTTGTAGTTACTTCGAATCTCTCGTATCGAGGAATGAAACAATCTCAACGGAGAAAAATAAGAGTTTTTTTTTTTGTTAGAACATTTGTCTTAGTTATAAGCCACCAAAGTAAAAACACTCTCCGGTCTTTACGAGTGAAGTACAACTAGTGAGTTCACATGCCAATGTTCATGGCATGGCAGGTTAGTGTTGTGTAGAAAAAATTGGGTAGATTGGGAAACTTTCGTTGGAGTCATCGCCTAACCTAGGTCTGATACGGCCTCAGCCCAGCATTTCAACTTAATTCTACAGGATGGTAATCAACATCGTACATTCCACATCGGCTCTCTTGGATTTTAAATTTCAAAGAATGTAACTTTTCCCCAAAAACTCCAACCCTCTGCCATTACGTCCTCGTTACTCTGCACGCACCGCTACAGCGCAGCTACAAAATTGCTCCGCCCTCTTTTCTTTTCTTCCATTTTCGCATCGAGGACGAGACTACGCACGTTTCTTGTGTATTACGTTCAGTTTAAGTTTCTTGGAGCGGACGCTTGACCTAGATATACCTTCACTTGGTTTCTACAACAAGGAATGCTTAGTGATATCTTTCAGTATATGTGAGTGCGTTCAGTGAAACGAAAAGCCCTTCCTCCGAACAAGCTTCTCCAAGAAGAAGCTCCAAAACTGGACTCGTCTTCGACAAGAAAGCATGAAAGATTGAGGTGATATCAGTACGTCTTTCCTATGGATTCCCTTACATTCTGAATCGCAAAGAAAAAAAAATACCCTTATCGTTCGATTCTGATCTTCTGATCAATACGTCTTTGCAATCGTTCAATCGTTCGAATCTGGTTACATCACTACACTCTCTTCGTAAACACCAACTGTTGCTGTCTCTGCCAACCCACACTAGGAACATTGAGCAGAATTTAAGTAATATACATCAGTTTTTAAAAGATATCCAGAATTGAAAGGAATGCTGGCTAGTCAGATGATTGGCCAGCCCACTGACGTTTGTCTACCCTTGAAGCTGTCAGATGATTGTGCTCGTATTGAAGACTGCCCGGAAGCTCTTATTAAGCCCCAGCTTGGTTACAAAACGTGATGTATGATGGAAGGAGAGTAGAACAGAAGTTGATCTGCTCTGATGTGTTCTTCAAAATATGTACATCAAATAAAAAAAAAAATTTACGTTCCAATTTATACGTAGAAACATGCTGGTCAGTAGCCGAACATTAAACCTTCAGAGTGACCAACAGAAGAGCATGGAGAAAGGAGTACATTGGAAATGAACGTGACATGTGGCATTGTGGATGTAGGCCAGTTTCTTGTGTACATGAAGAGAGAGTAATTCCCACTGTAGATGAGACGTGTAATAATACTACACAAGGAACTGATAAGACCTCCAACAATACAATGGATGAGTTGTGAAATATTATGTGGTGTAAATAGAATCTTGCGAGTCCTTGCGAATAGACGATACTGTTGAGGTTATTCGGTTGTAAGCATAAGAATAGTAGTAATTCCCAGTATAATTTATGGAATAAAAATATAATAATTTGTTTATGTATGGTGTTATCATCTTTCTTCGCATCTGGGACGCTTTGGCCGAGTGGTTAAGGCGTGTGCCTGCTAAGTACATGGGGTCTCCCCGAGAGAGTTCGAATCTCTCAGGCGTCGTCCCGTAGATGACCTTTTAGTCTCAGATAATTCTCCCGACTTAGGACTTCTAACCATCGTTTCTTTTCTCCACCTCCAAGTTACAACTTCAAGTCATGGTTACTCCCCCTCATGATCGGTAAGGATTTGACAGATTCTGTTTGTTATACTACTACAAAGCCTTCAAAGCCATAATCAAAAGTTATCAAAAAAAAACTTGTTTCAAATCCTTGATTAATCATGAACATCTTTCAATAATATTGAAGTCTACTCATCTAGCTCAATGTAATGTCAATAATTACAAACAAATCCATACTTGCAAATGTCAATAAAAACATGCATATTGTCATAAAAATACAATTGCAAATGAGAAGAGAATGATGACACTACTCATATGAAATAAACTTACACGAACAATTGCGCAAAGGAATTCAAAATGGGGTTGAAGGTTGAGACTTCAAAACTCTTTCCAACTCAACTTGCTTCAACGATGTCATAAGACATATGATATGTGTTATGTGTCAAGTATCAACTCACACCAGGAAATACTATACCTATCATAATCAATATATTATTCGGAACCCAATATTGTCTCCAACACTCAATCTCCTCTAGATATTCTCGAACTCATGATAATCTTCCATTGGCGGAACCTCTAAATGTTGGTATAAACCTTTCCAAGCCATGATCGGATTAGTAGAGGTGGAGTTGCCATCCGCTGTTACTCTCACCATGAGACAAACTTTTGGATGAAATTATACAATTCAACTGTGACGACAACATCTAAAAAGTGTCTCGAACCCTTTGTGGTCTTAAAGATGTCGTCCATATTCCACAACAATGGTATGGTACAATCTCAGAAAAAACGTAGTAATAAGAAGGTAAAATAATGGTATGGTACAAATTTCATCAATCTCAGTCTCGTCACTTGCAGCGGATATTAACTCAAGATCTTTGGTATATGACAAGGTTGGCTTCAACTCAAGATCTTTGCTAAGTCTTAAAGGCTAATGTCTTAAAAGTCATAAAGTCTTCTTTTCAAAAACAAGCATAAAAAAGAACAAGCCAACCCAATTCGGACTAACATGGCATCATAATACACTTAAAAAGATTGAAACCCAAGTTTTGAGTACTTATGGTGCCGAATTCAATAAATTTAAGTCACGAAGTTGATTAGCCTCAGTAATCTTAGCGTCAGCAGCTTGCCTTCCAATTTTCTACCTAAGACAAAAAAATTTTACCCAAACCAACATCCTTTTACGCATTTACGAGCTAATGAAATTTTCTTACAAATCTTTGTATCTAGTTATGTATCAATTTGAGATTCTGAGGCCGAAAAAGAGTGCATGATTTTGTTTTCAAATCGCAGAACACTCTACTTTTTCCACCATCTCACAAAAATTTGGATGTAACATAAATTGTTTGATATTCCTGCATTAAATAGATTCTATAGCAAAACTTGAAATTCAAACACATATGTTTGATATATAAACATATTTTTTCTTCACCCAATCATAATAAAATGTCCTGGAAAGACGACTTAGCTAAAATCCGACATCAATTCCGCATGTGAAAATTTGGACTACAACAAAACTGTAGAAATATCAAATACTTCAACAAGAACTTCGAGTCGATTCTAGTTTTACATCTTCAGCACAACCTTCACTGTATCGCCCAGGCCTTGAACATCCTACAACCACCACCAGATCAAAGCTATCATGGATCCAGCATTTGCCAAAATACTTTCAGCTCTCCCAGATCTCACAATTCTGTGATTAAAATCCACTCTCGAAGTCTTTGAAGTAATTATTTCTATTCTCTTAATGTCCATCAAGAAATGGTGGTCATAAACACCACGCATATTACAATCAAGCCAAACCCGCTACTTAATCTCCAAGTCTCAACTAAAAAAACTGAATCCCAAATAGCTATGAAATGAACTCTTCCCAGTTGAGGCCTAGATTTCTCCAGCGCTATAGGCCCAAACAGCATATCAAATGCGAACTGCGCAATAGACTCTAACTACTGCGCATGATACTACACTTAGGAATCTACTTCTAAAGTCTTGACATCATGAATGGCGACCATGAGAAAGAAACGGTCACCGAGGATTTCGTCACATTACTGGCAATTTTCAGAACGATAAAAGGAGATATTGTCTTCAAGCTCTTTGCTTTTCTTTGCATGCGCCTTCACTGGATGTGCGATCTGAAACTGTTCTCGATTATATCGTCATTGCGATTACAGTATGCAGCTACTCTCGGCGGACACGAAAGCAAAGGAAAGCAATAATGTGGCCTTTCTAGTGACGTCTCTCTCACTCGATGTCCTGACGAGCGATGGCCATAATGGCCACCCCATAACTACCTTGCCCCCGCCCCTCGGAACAGGAACACCGCGAATCAAGCACGGCCCCGTCAGCAGGCCATGAAATCCACTCACTCGAGATCCCTACTTCTAGCGCGGCATTCACCGACCACAGTCTCCCTTCTCTCAATTCCCCGCATCCTCCACCGAACTACGTCTCGCCGTGCCCGGCCCACCCGCTACACGACACACGACTATGGGTCTGTATAATTGGATTTTTCGCGGATTGCGTAAAATAATACCGTATATTACCCAATGTATTATACAACACTCAGAGTGGATAATTGTCGCACTCACCGGTTCCTTGCAAGTGTTCCGGTTGCAGTACATTGTCCTGTCATCACCTTCCCTCTAACAAATTTCGAACTTTTTCCAAATAGCATCTTTCAGATTCTCCATTTCGAGTACACTACATTACAAATCTGAAATCTCACATTTGTACCAAGCGAACAACACTTGTGCGGACTCCTAGGGACTCCAATACGTATACAATACAAGGTACGGCTTGGGAGTGCTGTATGAAACATACCATATTTATTATACAGATGTATTATACAGTATTATTCATAATATAAGAAATGCTAGTATAGTTATACTGGTATGATACCGAAATTATGTATACACACCTATACACAGGACCCGCGCGGTGGGACGAGGGGCCGGTTCAGGAGAAACCAGCTGCTGCGAGGGCTGTGGAAGATTCAGAGGCGGGGGGAGGGGCAAGAGGAGGAGATTGGGGCAAAGAGGATAGAACGGGACGTGTCGCCTTGTGACGACGCTGGTTTCGGTCGGGCCTTGGGGCCTTGTCTGCAATGCGGCCGCGGCCCCGTCCCGCGGCCTTTCTCGTGCACAGCACGAGGCACGAGGCACGAGGCCCAATCAGCCGTTGTGCTCCGGCAGCGCTCGCTTGCGAGCACGCACAATCGCGGGATCCAACTTCGCGCGCGGTCGATCGATCAGCATTATCGCCGCTCGCCAGACGTTGTTTGTTGGTGCAGCATCTCTCTATCGTTGCGTCCGCTGCCGCTGCTCTTCCTCTCGCTGGAGTAGTGCAGCGCAGCGCAGCTCAGGCAGGCAGGTCAGAGATCTGCTGCCATGGCAAGCCTCGGAGCTCTCGCTAGAGCCCCCTCCTGCCCATGTCTCGCAGCTCCTCAGAGGAGTGACGCTGCAGCATGCGCAGCCTCTGCCGGTGAGCCCCGTCGTTCTCTGAATTATCCTCTCGTTATTCGTAATCCCAATTCTTCCTTTCCTTCTGCGACCTTTGTCCGAACCTCTGGAGATGACAGTTTCCGGTGGTAGGAATTTGCAAGTTTTGTTTCCAATTCCGTAGGGAGTGACGGATTTTTTCCTCGCGTTTTCAGGTGGGGTACGAGTGTGCGCAATTCCGGTCCTCTCTCGTTGTGGAGCTGGCGCGTCGGCCAGAAGACAGCACTCGAGCTGGAAGAAGAATTCAGCTGCTCCCACAGGCCTGGGTTTATGGACTGGATATTCATCCTCTTTTTTATCAAGCAGGTACCACGAACCCAATTGGAGTCGAGCAGCTTCGCCTGATGATGATGGTGGTGAATCGTGAGAGAGTAATTCAGAATTGGGCAATCCTTGTATTCTGAAGAATGCCATGCAACTTTCCTACAGGTCACTGCGAACGAAAAATAGGAGAATTATCAGGGGGCAGGCTGACGTTGAAGTAGAACAAATTGGTGAAGCTGTCAGGAGAACAAGGTTAAATTCCATCGACCGGTTGGAGGTAAAGTTTGTTGTTCTTATCACTCCGTCATGCACCACTCAAATCGTGAGCGAAATTCTTCTTTGTGAAATTGTAAAGTAGCTCGGCCAGGAGGATATGACGCCAGTATTTGCATCTGCCGATTAGCTTTTGTCAGGGGCTAACAATGATTGACGAGTGGCTTGAAATTGTTATCTTTTCAGGAGTCAATGCTGCGCGGTAGCAAGCTTTCGCTGTCACATGTTGATAATAAGTCTGACATTGTTGTACGAGATAGCTTTAGCGGGGATAATTATCGCCCCTGGATTAGGAGAGGAAGGGAGTCTATGTTAGACTTATTTCAACAATTAGTGGCCACATTGACAGATGGAGACAGATTATCCACTATAGTGAAATTTGCCGTGATCGCCTCGATATTTGGACTGCAAGCATGTTCTCCGGCCTGGGCAACTACCGAAATCGCTAAAGCGAGCGCGGATTCGAGTTTTTTCGGTGACCTCGATGACATTCAAAATGGATTTGCATCGGTAAGTCACTCACGCCCGGTCCTTACGAGGGTTGTAAAAGATTATAAATCCCCTTTGTTCATTTTACAATTTCCTATGCTTTTATTTTATTTCTCATCAAGCAGCAGCATCTACCCTGGATGTCATTGGACTGAGAGTTCCAGTCCAGTGATATCAAGAATATCTGATGTATCTGCATTGCCACGAGACTTATTTCACAATACGTAGTAGTTTCATGGCTTTTGCATTTGACCATTGTTTACTCCCTAGCGGGTTGCGTTATGATGCAGTCAAATGCTGGCAGCTTCTGACTAGTGGCTGACAATTGGGCACGTACCATTGTTCCCTGCAGTCATTTTTGTTGATATTCTTTTCGGAGATTGGAGATAAGACTTTCTTCATTGCTGTGAGTGCTCTGTACTGGTCCCATCAAGACAGCTTGCTTGGAGGATTGTTGAACATGTGAATGGGTGAGTAGAAGAAGGACAAGGAAGCATAGATGAGTTCATCAAAGTGTTGAATTATTGTTCTGCTATGTAATTAGTTGTCCCAACTTAGAGGTCACGATCATCTTGGAACAGCAAAGGTTGGTAACTTGTGACTTTTGTGCTTCAGTTTGCAATGTAGCACCGGCCCTTCCATTGACACAAGGATACACTTTTACCTTCTAGTGTGAACGAAGTTCCTCTTGGTAACCAATTTTCGGGCGCCTTTGACAGGCACTCCTGGCAACGCGTAAACCCGGTGCAGCCGTCTTCTCTGGAACGTTTGGGGCGCTGGCGTACTTATCTCAACACACACCTCTTTGATATGCATAGTGGTGTACTAGATGTGTTACAAAGAATTGAGTCAAGAGGCCCTGTAGTTGTCAAACTCTCACAAGCTGGTACTTTGATATCGGTGCATATCACGATCATTTGTATGACTTGTTCACTTTAAAGTCTCTTTCTGGCTGTCCGAGTTGTATCTTTTGTGAATTGTCAGTAGTCGAGGAGAATCCAAGCAATATGGTGTGGATTCCATCAACAGTAGGCAATTTAGTGAAAGGCGCAAACAGCTAAGACCAACAGGAACTGGTGGCTTCTAAGTCATTCCAAGAAGATCAGCTTGCCGGCATCCATGCACTCATCTTGACAGGATGTTCGTATGATTGCTTTCACTGATCGGAACATCTCCTTCTGCAGGGTTATGACAGTAATTTCTGTAGTACTTGGACGTGCTTTTCACTACGTCGATGAACTCCTTCCCAGGTTGGCTCCGCTTTTGAAGGGCTCTACGATTTCAAGTTTTAGGAGTCTACACAATGCGCACATATTACGAAGGCTTGAGAAATGCATGGTTTTTACGCAAAGTCAAACTGTGGTCACTCGATCTTTAGATTTAACAATTGTTCGATAGGATCCCAGTTTTCACAGGACATAGCTCATGATTTTCCTGGCTTGTATCAGTCTTGGAGAAACAAGGATTCCATGGGACGATCTTGCTGCTGTTGTACTCCTGGTAAGTTTGCTCAGTGGTGACTTTCATGTTCGTCTGGAACGCTTGTTTTGATTGTACCGAGATTATATGGATGGGATTTCATTTGAAGGTTTATTCCTGGAGATAGTTGTGATACAGATGCTTCTTGTTTTCAGGTTTACTTTGGTGTATCAACCTTAATTGAAGCAGCCTCCATGGAAGAGTCAAAACAAGAGGGAGAACAACAAGAGGTATGTTCAAACCTCCATGATTCCACCCACTGACCATACCATTTTAAGGCTATATAGCTAGCTGATGATCAGCTCCACTCATTATCAAGGTAACGATATATGTTGTTCAAAGTCTAACCTAAACCTAAACTCTCCATTGACACTGCTGTGTACATGATTTGAAGTAACCATCTGACGATAGCGCATATTTTATCTGATGATTGTGTATGCAGGCGGAATTGGCCATTGCAGGCGTAGGCGCAAATGGAGCAGTGGCTGGCACTGTGGCTGCAACATTTGCCCTTGTGTTCGTTGCTGAGTGGGGTGACAAGTCGTTCTTTTCCACTATAGGTTTGTCACTTTACCTTCCAGGAGCATGTTTGTATCCCTTCATGTATGTTTCTGACGAACTTTATTAGACAAGGTTCAATCCCTTTGTCCAAATATACAGGCAGGATGTGCAGCACCTTCAATTCTTACTACGCTCACTTTGAGTTTCTATTGTTTAACTTGGACCCTTTATACGACCACAGCGTTGGCTGCCGCATCTTCTCCTCTCGGAGTCGTGACTGGTGCTATCGGAGGCCACGGTGCTGCAACTCTGGTAAATCTCTCGGTCGACCTCCTGCATCAGATTGCGAAAAATGAGCAATATTGCACAGCATTAAAGCTCTTGACTGCAAGATGGAGGTTCCAAGCTAAGTTGCTGTGGACATGGTGCTGGTTGTTCTGTGCAGTTGGCTGTACTTGGAGGCTCATTTCTTGGAAATTATATCTCAGAAAAGGTACGCCAACTCTTAGTCCTGTTCGTCGAGAAAGAGGTTTCATTCACTTCCTAAGATTAGTGAACAAATCAGAATTGGCGTCTTGCTTGTAGAAAGTGCTGAGTTACTACTGCCCTCGTGGTTATAACGTTTGGAATTCGATTTCGTGCTTGGCCAGGTCATTGCCTACGTCGGAGGAGCTCTTTTCCTAGTTTTTGCGGGGATTACTCTAGTGGAGAGCCTCAATTAGGACATTCGTAGACCAGCCAATCGGAAAAATCATCCAGGGGCTACAAAATGTAACCCATTGTAATCTAGTTGTAGTCTATAGTGTACTTCATTCAAATCACATCAATTCAGTTCCAATGCTTCGCTCCTTTCCGATTTATTGCCGGTGCTGCTTCTCGTCTCTTCTTTCTTGTTGCACCTTTCCTGTCTTGTGTTTATAAATTGTCTTATCTCTTGGCCACCTTCTCATTCACATCGTATGCCTATTTCGGGCTAATTACATTCAACAAACTAATTTTACCATGTTTTCAGGCCTGTTCATTTGCCTATGTATCATCGAAACGACGTCCAGTCTGAATGCCACAATCGCAGACTTGAGGTTAGATGTTTATTTATAACTCATATCATATAGAAGTCTGGTCCAGATTCTTCCTTAGAACTTCAAGTCCATCATCTAAGAAGTTACTGCTGGAGGACAAAAGAGGACTTTAAGTCTGCAGAGTCCTGACGGTGTCCACTTGTTTAAGAGTATCCTGCCGGGGCTTACGTAGACTGAGAATAAAATCTGTGAACGGCAATTTTTGTAAATTATAACGCGGTACCAAAATATGGGGCCACCGATGCATCTGACGTGTTATCTTTTAGCGTGGGATTTCTACCATTGGATACGTAACCACATTAATCCGTGACATTTTACAACCTGAACGATGTGCTTTTCTATTCAGGAGAATGTGCCTCGGTACTTTCAGTAGCGAGTCTTTTGCGATGGTTGGTGAAACCATCTCACCATCAGGGGCCGAACATCTGGATAATATTGCATTTACCATGTCTTGAATATTAAACAGAGGTCGTACGCTGCGTCTGCTATCTACAGAATTTGACGTACGCTATGACCTGATCACACAGCCTGAGAAACTTTCCCATCAAATACCCTCAAATTTGCCGCATACATGCACACGAACGTGGTATCCATTGAACACACTACGTAGGATATTATTTGCTCGCTTTAACATCTCAGTGCGAACTCTCACGTTGGTGCGCTTCTGCCATGAACGCTACATGTGACGGGGCCTTTAAAACACGCGAGGACATACCATGCCCACAACAGATTTTCTGTTCAAAACAGCGGTACCTCAAAAAAGGTAAACCCTCTCTTCTCCTTGATAACAACAAATTCATAAACACCAGGTTTGGTTCCGCCATCTCTTGAATACTCCCTGCGTCACATCTGCAGATAAGAATCAGGTATATATACATGCTGATACGCATCTCCTACTTGTCGTCACTGGAGCTCGATGCACAATATTAGCATTTCTTGTGAATAGACCATCTTCGTTTGGACGCAGAGAACACGTAGTACTGATACTTAACGCTTACATGACGCTTGATGGCGAGGCCTGTAGAGGTCTAAATCCACCCACGACGTTCTTTTCCTTCACAGACACGTAGACGAATCTACAATGCACTACATTCATAACCAGGTTTAACTGTTATGGTGCAGTTATACCATATGTTAAGCTCCACATCATCATTAATGGAATTCACGTGTAAAATGCACATAAAGTTCTGAGGTATTGCTGGGTTGCCAAATTCGGTAAATGATCATTGGAGCATGTGAGACACATGTTCACCCCTGCGAGTGTTATGCTCACAAACTGATCCAAGAATTCGGACTTCCTCGTAGACCACTTTATATTGATTGTAGTCGGGCATTGTCAAATGAAGTAGCGGCGAACTCTCAAATCATCAACTACCACCTTGTGATCAACTCCATGCGCTAACTACCTGACGATTCTACTAGAACAGATGGGCGATGTGCTGGGAATTCCAGAAGCACAACTGTAACCCGGTGGTACACACGGACTTGTTAATTAACTGACGTGTTCCTAAACTGGTTCTTTTAGACATACATAGCTAGTGAAAGAAGTAAAACTAAGATGACTGATACTCTCACTGGGGACCCCTCCACATTGGTCTAGGAGGAGGCCCCATGTTTGGGTGCCAAGGTTGAGGAGGTTGCTGCTGAGTTCTCAAATCTCTTCCGTGCGGGGGGTAGGGAGGAACAGCACTGGTTTGGACTGGTCTCACATTCCGCTCTGGAGTTTGTTGCCAGTGTTGTTGTTGTGGGGCAGGATATGGCGGAGGTGGCGGAGGCGGCGGAGGTCTATAGCTACCTTGAAACGGAGGTGGGCCCGGTCTTCCTCTCTCGTTAGGCACCCACACGGTCATATTCTCTGCAACATTAGCCTGTCTATTGCCCTGAAAGTCCGAGTATTCTCTACCTACGGGTCTCATTTGAGGATCAGGAGGTGGAGGTGGAGGCGGAGGACCAGGTGGCCTGGGCCATCTGTTGTTCCTACCTGCACCTGACTCCTGACCAGCTTGTATCATGGAATTATCATTAGCAGAGGGGGCAATGACAAGATGAGCCGCATTAGTCCATTGTCTCTGACTAGCATTATGCATTTCCTGCTGAGAGACCACAGAGCTTACTTCCACTTGTGGTATCGGGACCATTCCACCGTAATTCGGCGGTCGCACATTATGGGTCATTATATTCTGTGGTCTCATATGCAACTCTTGACCAGAATGAATTTGGGCAGTATTCACGGCTGGCCTACCAACAACCGTTCCAACACTATTCCATGCCTGCTGAGGTTCTGGCCAGTTAGTCACTTTGTTCGCTTGAGGCTGCACGGACGATTGTAGTACTTGATTACCTCCACTCGGCATTGGAGGCAGCGGTGGTGGTGGTGGCAGCGGTGGAAGTGGAGGCATCCGACCTTGCTCCCAACCAGAGTTGCTGCCCACTGCGGGCTGCATCTGTGGTGGAGCTGAGTATCGATTGTCAACACCAACTTGAGTAACAAATCCTGGATTCTGCTGGTGTCCCATCCCAGAATATGAATGCTTCAATGCTGAATCTTCAACTCGCATTGTATCAGGTGGCTGCACACACCAGGAACGCAAAGCAAGACATGCGTTGGTCACAAACATCCTCACAATTCGACACTCTTAGACAATGCAATAAATCTAACTCTGAACTGGTACAAACGGCGGGCTACGTAAATTCGGAATACTTTTACTAGAAGGAGAATCCAGCTCTTTGCATTGACCATGCTATTTTCTTCTTGGATGCATACAGCAATCATTTGTCAGTAGTGGGCTTTGAAAAGTGAAGAATTTCTTGGTTGAAAGTGGAACTTGAACATCACTAACTTAAGTGCTGGCATTTCCTCCTTGCATCACGAGTATCCCCGCTCGGTTGAGATGTAGCCAATCTTATCTGATCCTTCTCTATCAGTACAATGCATAAAACAACGGCAGGCAAGCGTATGTAGATGCTGATCTATAAATGACGGTTGTCTTCGTTACACAAGCAGCAGATAACTATCACCTCATTCGGCTTGACTGGGCAGCAGGTTTGTCTAGCGAGAAACATCCAAGTTTACAATGTGTCTTTCTTCTGAGCAAGATGACTTGGTAAAGCTTAACATATACATTATCACGCACCTAACTGTCAAGCTAGAGTTGGTTAAGGTTATACGTTTTGAGTAGAGCTCCCGATCTAAACTGTTTTCGAAATTTAACAAGACACAAAGATAACTACGGAGATAACTTTCAGATATCCAGGGCTCAACGTGAAATAGAACAAAAGTAACAAAAGTCTCATATAGAATTATCATAATAAGGTTAACAAAGATCACAAAATCGTCATATATGAGAACCTGTGCATATAGTAACCTAATCTGTAGCCCATTCAGTGGCGGCACTGAACTAGTTCCATTAGTGCAAGCATACCTAGAGCAGATACTAATATTACAAACACTGGAAGAACACTGAAAAAGCATAATCCATGTTATACCCACCACCTGAATCACAGATGGTGCTGCGCGCGCAAGTTGTGGAGAGTGTACCATTGTGACTGAGATGTTTGAAGCTCCAACTCTGTCAAGTCCTAGATCTCCTGCTGAAGTTCTTAACCCAACCCCAAGGTTTCCACTGTTACTTGATTGTTTGAGCGAGTCCAAAGGTGGTGCGAAGACATTCTGAGTTGTATTTCCGCTTTGAGGATAACCCTGGCCAGCAGTCAGCTGATTCACGAGATCAGGATTCTGTAGAAGAAGGGTAAGAAGAGCTGGATCATGTGCTACTCCACCCCCAGCAGATAGTTGTTGGAGTAGCAAATCAAGCCCACTGACATTGGGTACCCTCCTCGACTGATCAACAGAAGAATCTGCAGCACTATACCCACTTCCAGGTTGAAACATATTGTTTGACGGTTCTGCCATGAAACTGTTCGGAGCTATTCCAGACGGCATCACATTCGTGGTTGGGGCACTCATATGGTCTGTTGAAATCTGCATTGCAGAAGCAGCCTTCCGGTGATTATTGTCTAGGAATATCTCAAATGTAAGACTATCGTCATAATTCGGCTCTTCTTCCCAGGGATCTTTAGGGTCACTTGGTATAGTACTCGCATCTGGATAGTAGGCCTCCTCTTCCCTCTTCACGCGAGCAGACTGCATTTCTTTCTCTTTACTGTCTTCTCCCGCAGCTACATTCCATTGAGGGTCCAGATGAAATTCTGCAAAAGTGAACAGGTGATCAAATTCAAGAAAATGCTATTGCACCTGGAGTACATGAAGTAGTATACACGAACAAGTAATTTGATGCGAAGACGAGTAGAACAATGAATAGAAGGTAATTCTCGTACCTGCTGGAATTCTCCATCGAATCATGTTCGCTCTTAGAGCAGCATAGAAATCAATGACGGCAGGTTCTTTTGGTGGAAACCGAGAACTAGAACTCTCAACAAACTGTTGTCCCTCCTTGACCTCTACTTCATTTTCAGGAGTCGGAGAAGGTATTGTATACAACGGTACGCCAGTCGCAGGGCGTCCCGACTCCATCTGTGGATAAAGCTGCCCCGATACTGGGGCAGAAGGATGGTTTTGGTCCAAAAAGGCCGGATGTGTGTTTGTCACGGTGACAGAAACGGGATTATCTCTGGGCATATTTTCGGTAGGTCTTACTACTTCACCTCCGACAGGAAACACTGTTGCATCACTCGGTTCCTTGCATGCAAACGGAAAGCCTGGAACCAACGTGTCTGTCGGTTGTTGTACTTGTTGGGGTATCATTGCGTGATGCACAGACTCCATCAACCCCGGGTTAGAGCTGAAAGGAGTGAATATTTGAGACTCATCTGCTGAAACTGACGTGCTCTTTGGATACGTTTTCTGAGGAATAGAATCGAGAATGGCTGCTGATGACAAAATACCTTGAGAACGGTCAGATGTGGATGTAATCACTCTCTGGGGTATATCTTCCGGACTCAACGGTGTACTGACAATTTCGGAAAGATCTGGAGGTGAATTGGGTTTCTCAATAGGAGGACGCTCAGGTGATGCGATGGGAGTTATGATCAGTTGCGGTCTATCTGGCGATGCGGTCGGAGTAATTGTTCTCTGACCTCGATCTGGCGATGAAGTAGGCGTTATCGAAGGTTGATACATATCCTGCTGAAGTCTGCTGGCAAGAGTTTCCCACTTAGAAACCTCAGTCCGTTCGATAATACCAGCCGTTGAAGACACCCGCTTGTTCAAAAATTGATAATCGGAAACTGACGTGTTTCCTGTAGACCCTCTGGAGAGATCCTGCTGCTCAGGCCTAGAGGGAGGTACGCTTTTCTTGGGCACCGTTTTAAGGTCTACATCCACAGTCTGCGAAGTTTCCTCAGCGGCAGCAGCCTTTCTCCTTGATTTCGTTAGCGGCTCTTGCATGAGTCGCTGAAGCTTTTTAGCTTTATAAATGTCGTCTGTAGAAAGAGGTCTGGAATTCTTCGATATTGATGACTTGGATGCCCCTCCAGTCAGGAAGGATTTTCCTGCAGGTTTATCTTCCACCAGTTGTAATTTGCGACGCTCTTTGGCATCTGAGGCTATTCCATTAAGGTCAATGATCAAAGTATAATCGGGTACAGCAACGTAGAATGCATATAAAGAGAATTTGGTACTTCTCGTATCTAAACACGATTGATAACAATATTCACTCGGGTAGGTAAGGTGCGCATATGTGGTATGTCACTATATAATCATCAAGGACAATCATAGTCAAGGGATACCAAACAAGTCGTCAAGGATAAAGAAAAGCGATCTTGAAATTCTCATACTTGTAGAAAAGAAAGAACACCTGATAAGACTGCAAAAGACTGATATACACAAAGATTCCACTTTGAACAAGGATACGATCGCCGAGAGACTTGGAGACGACTCTCTTTCTTGAAACGCTAACCGCAGCAACCGCACTTTCGGATGGCTGCAGGGTGTGAGACCATCTACATTGAACGAAAAGACCACTATAGTCTTCAGCAGGTAAACCAAGTAATATGGAGCTCGCCATACCATGAAAAGTTCAGTCCCAAATGAAATACTTCTTATCTTCTCAATAGACATACATCCTCCGCATTTCCTAGTTCAAACCCATATACTCGAGTTTGACTCATCACATACCGTTGTTTGGCTGCTGGTGGTGGGTTTGGAACCGATGGCTGGTTGGAAACTGTGGGGTCCACAACAACTAGACCTGATATCTGAATACACACGAACGATGAAATTATTCTCCAATTGTTACAGATTTAGGAGACATATTTGAGGACCATCTGTCTCGAAGAAAGTAAAGGTACTCACATTACGTGAAGGGGAACCCATAGATGGAACTCCTGAAGCCTTCAAGTCGGTCTGTGAAGTCTCTTCTGCAATCGAAAGAACGTCAGACCTTGTTCATATGACCACGTTCATAATCAACAATCACCAGTGAAACTTCAAAGAAATGGAGACAAGTAAATAGGAATGATTAAATCTCACTAGAGCTGTCACTAGTAACCCGTGTAGATATCAAATAGCTATGCGTGTTTTACAAACAAACGCGTATAAACCGGAGATATACAAGTATTTAAAAGCTGAGGAGAGGCCGATCAGCCATATGAGAAGCTAAGCAAGTTCAAAGCCGCCGAAAAAATACTGGACTAACCTTCCTTTGCTTTCTTCTTACGTGGTCCTGATCCGCCGTGAGTTACTGAGAGTGTCTCACTAATCATCCATGTACCATAAAAAATTAGAACACATGCACACAGGACTTTTTCGAATAATAAGAGTTTTCGGGAAAATACTCTAACAATCTCCATCAGTAATTCACGCCATTTTGCAATACACAGAAATTCTTTCCAAAATATTCGAATGAAAATAAGTGGTTATCTCCCCTACGTACCGGTTTCTTTTTTGAACACCAGGGGCTGAAGCCAGATCTGTCACATAACATGTAGCCGTTTAACTTTCAACTCCTAACTTGTTCTGCACATTAATTTCTGATATAATTCACCTCAACAAACATTGACTTCCGTTAATAATTCTGAAGTTTATCTCGGCACAATGGAGTTAATTAGATACCCAATTTGTCGATAGATATCTGTATTCGTTAGGATGTCCTAGTCACAGGCTGAACCATTTATCCGACTCATGTTTGAAAGGTGCTCAGATAATAGCACGAAGATTGATATGTTCTGTAATTGATTTGAATTGTGAGAATCTATGTCTCAGATGGCTGACATGCAGTCGACTTCAAAGTATCTGGCCGAAAGACGAAAATGATGACAGAAGAGCGTCAGAAGAACGCTATGCGTTCTATCGCTTCGCGCCGTCCATTCTGTGCGTGCTGACAAAGAAACATATTTTGAGGCCGAGATCAGCCGCCATTTCCATACTACTCCCCACGGAAATCAACCTTCTACGGTTATATACCCACCGGTAGGCTTCGGCACGGTCCGGTTGACGATTAACCAGTTAAGAAAACTAAGGTTAACCGGTTAACCGGTCCTTTCAAAACTTTTGGAGAAACAGTAACGCAGGCCAAGTTTTATCATTTTTTAGGAGCTTGCTCTCGGAATAAGCGGTTCCAGCTTTTCATCAGTTCCAGAACATTATCGTTGATCGTAACATTAACGCTGAGTAGGTTGAGCTACCTCAATATGGTTACTAACCATATTGAGGCAGCTCAACTCTCTTAGCTCAAGACAATCAGAGCTCCATTGCCTTCATTATGAAGGCTGTGAATTACTCTAAGATGATACACATCCGCAGTACTACCCACTCGTAAAACACTCTATACCATTTATGAAATATACATTAGTCTCGTGTGACGAAATGGATAAATTAGTCTCGGGTGACGAAATGGATACATTAGTCTCTGGTGACTAAATGGGGACCGGTTAACAGGTCCCGGGGAAAATTGAGACCGGTTAAACCGAACCGACGGTTAACCGGTTAACCGGTTAACCGCCAGTCCGGACCGGACCGTGGCCAAGCCTAGCCACCGGGCACTACATTCGGTAGTAGCATAAAAGGTTTTCTTTTTTTTGGATACGCTTTGAGAATGATACACGAAAAAAAAAAAGGTAAAAGCTTCAACAGGAAAATGAGAGACTTGGATTGGCAGTTGCTAGACTGGAAATCAATTCAGGTACATGTCTCTAAGTTGCAAAACTTTTATTTTCAAGCTAAGTCGAGAACAGAAGTACAAAGAGAAGGTACCGTTCGTCGTGTTCTGATCTATTTTTTTTCTGACATTTGATAGTGACTTCACATGATGTCGATAAGAAGATTAAATTCAAAGGTGTTATGTGAGAGCCCTTCAACCTTCAACTTAAATCCAACAAATCTGAGGCTCACAAGTCTGGAGAAAAGGATTGATTCATACAAATAAAAGAAGTGGGACGAGTGTTTACGTCATCAAACTTTCTGACGTGGAGGCTTTCGGTCCTAGATTTGATAGCAAAGCTTATTTGACTGACAATCTCCAAGAGTTGTGATCCTCTTCTTGGAAACCGAATGGTACAACAGATGACAGTTTCCTTTGCACGTAACGTAAACCTCAGGAAGACTATCGAGATTGTATTTTGCAACTGCGACAAGTAACTCAGTTCACCCACAGACAGTCGAAAATAACAATATGACTTACTTCTCTCTAGAGCAGCGGTTGGTTTGCCTGTAACTGCAGCTGCAGGTTTTGGTGCTTCAGTCTTTTGCTTCAGCATTTTGCTCCACATAGCAAGTAAAGCTCGAGCCTGAGAACTTATATCTGCTCATCAAAAAGTCAAATATTGGAATTTTATGTATCAATTACATGAAGGAAGATACATACGGTATTTTTTGAAAGTATGATGATGAGATAAAACCTACCCGAATTTTGGTAAAATCGAAGTTTGTTCACGTTTTGAACTAAAGCTGGCATCTGATGAGGCACCGATTGACTTATTGGCAAGTGGCCTAAAACCTGCGAAATGCAGGTACAGAGATCAAAGTGTAAGTTTTCGGACGAAAACTCACAAGAATTAAATCTGTTGTTAGACACAGAAAATTCTTTATCATGGTGACTGTTGACGAATTTTAGTTAAATTCGTCAACATGACGAACAAATGAAAATATATAACTTCCTCGGCACCTTCATCAGGTGGCAGATAACATCCTACATTCAAGTTTTTCTAAGCTGAGGAGTTTCATATCGGAAAAGGTATATGTCATACTTTTAGCAGCTGACGCAGAACACTTGTCTGCTCCTCAGCAGCTGCTTCCACAAGCCAACCGCCCACAACCTTCAGACCCCCCTTCTCCAAAAACCTGCACGTGTATCCAAAAGTAAAACGAAGTGATACAGAGTATCCGTCAAATCTGGCATAAGCTCTACGAGCTCTATGAACAGGCTTTTGCCGACATTGTGAGAAAATTTGATGTACCAAGTGGCAGGTACTTGTGATCCGTACTGTCTGGGCACTGACAAGGAATTAAGAACATACAAATGCATAGCTTTCTATATTAAACAAATTTATTAGTACCCAATTCCTACAACGGAGTTTGCATCATCCACAAAATAACTTGCAACTGGATGAGCTAAACTAACCTTCGAAGAATCAAAGCGCCTGCTTCTGTTTGCAGTATAATTTGCAGAAGTTGCATTTGTCCGAAAAATGTGCGCTCAGCTCTCATGAGCTCTAAAGACCTCTCAACAGACTCAATACTCGTAAGCTTGTGAAAACCAAGATCTCTTTCAACCCCAACATTGTTACTGATAGTAGGAATGCTTGGCTGCGATTGCTCCGACGCGTTCTTTATACCAACTCTTCCTGTCTCGTCATAGACTTGCTGAACAAGCTTCTTCACAAGGTTTCGTTGTGTTTGAAAAAACTCCCGGACCTGACAGCGAGAGTACCATTAGATATAATAATGAGATACTTGCCGTGGACTGAAACCTCAAGGTGGTTCAGATTTGAAAGCGACCATTGATCTGACACACTTTTGGATACGAAGATGCAGTTACTGATAACTTGATTGCAGTTTTAGAGGTTGCCCAGAACTCGCGCTCTGGCTGACCGGTTATATATTATCAAAACTCAAAGAGAACACTTTATTTTGTTTGTTATATCATTCCTGCAAAAGAAACGAAGTAATTCATCTCGGTTTACTTGATAGAGCCTCGAATATCAATACAAGAGGCTGGAGAAAGTATCTTCGATACTCGAACTTGGAAGAAAAGGGTTCACTATGATTGAAAGCCCAGCAAGAGGAATAAATTGTTCGTGCAATACAAAAAAAAAAAGGCTAATACTAGCTACCATTCACATTAAATGTTATCTTCGGACTATCCAGGTACAACATTTGTGGTAAGGTCCCAGGAAAAACTCCAGTCTTGTAAGTGACAAATCGACTTTTTGCAACTGGTTTCAATTTTGAATTGTCCAACAGAAGTTGAACACGTTCAATTTCTGTTAAATGTTGACTTAAAGAGGCAAAATAGTTCCTTACATATACTTCAAGCAAAAAGCTGTATGTTTCAATTTCATCTGGATCCACCGCATTTTGCGGTGGACTTCAGTTAATCCGAGAAATTTTATGTAGTTATTTTTTTGATAGGGTTATCAAGAAAATGAGAATATAAACCACCAAGACCATCTGATTGCTTGCAGTTTGCAGGAAAAAATGTTTAAGAAGGACAAACATGCCATGCCTTGTGCTCAGTAATTTCAACCGTCAATAATAAAATTCAACAGAAATTTGACCAAATTGCGAGTTCATGCAATAGTCAATATAACGACCAAAACGCTGTCACCCCCGACACTTGGCTACACTGACTACAGCGGCAACAGAAGAAAAATAAGCTTAAAAAGTAATACCATACGACAGAGTAACTCCCCTTATGCTGGACCTCCATGATCACAACACTAGCAACGGGTTCCACTGAACCCCAGTTAAATGTAACCGTCTTCATTATACAACGATACTAACTTTTTCCTCCTCATTCTCCGTCCTTCCTCAATTTTTCTTTTTTCTTGCCCCATCACGAGCACCGCCCAGACAAGCTGACGGGTCTAAGGTCTTCGAACAGGCAAATGCTTGTAAGTTTGATCCTAACAGACTAAATGGAGGGGCTTCTCAACTGCCACACCCCCATGCCAATTTGAGGATTCGATGGTCTTCAGACTACGACTGGCACTTGAGGTTCAAATCAAACTCGATGCATGGAGGGGCTTCTCAATCACCACCAGAAGTCCAGTCACCTAGTACTTCAGCATATTTTCGGCATGTACTGTTCCGTTTAGAGTACGATAAATTGAAGCAAGGACACTAAATGTCCACAGATTCATGAGCCTATCTTTCAGTAAACCTCATTCAAATCTATCTCTAAGCTTGGTCTAGAACACTACCATGTTTCTCTCTACCTACCCCGGGAGGTTCATCTCTGTAGAAATGAAGAGGAGTGTTAAGCTCAGCTGTATTGCATTGAGATTGATAACACTGCAGAGACTGTCCAGTTGCTAAAACTTACGGTCCCCTCTAGTCCGCAAGGACAGAAAAGAATTTCGTTCATCATTAGTTTGCAACATTTCCAAGCATTCTGAACTTCATCAGCCTCATGCAAAAATTAACCGGTTCGTTCCGTGCCTTTCTGAGGCATTTGTTTGTGTCACCATGTGCAAACGCTTGAGCAGGTACTGGGAATTTAAACCACCTGAGTGACGGTGGCTCCAGTCATGCTGCTGATTTCACGAGCCTCTTTCTTGGTAATAGTGTCTTTGATCGCAAATACTTCTTTCATACTTTTCAAAGCTTCCGCTGATGGTACTTCTCCTAATTTCTTATCTGCAAGATAAAGTTCATCAGCAATTATTCATGTCAATGTCATATTTCTGGCCAAATGAGCATAACATGGAAATGATAGGTCTGCATCAACTTTGGAAAAAGAGATCTTTAAGTGAAAGTCCACATGCTATCTTTGACCCACCTGCACCTTTCTCCCCAAGAACTTCGTAAATCTGAAAGACAGACAAGATAAACAATGCTGTCAATGTCATCTGATTGTAAGGGAAAAAAAAATTCAAAGTCATTGTTCTCTTCCACTACGATTCGAGGAGCGGCTCTGCCAAACGCCCTCCTAAACTGAGTAAGTTTCTGCATTGAGTTCACAATGACCAGCTGAAAGCCGATCAACTGATTTCTTCTAAGTAATCTCTATGGGCGTCTACAAATCCACAATAAGATTACAAAGTTCCTTTGAAAATGCAATGCTTTAACGTATATTGAAGAGAGGGTAAATTATTAGAGTACAATGTAAGGTAGATTTCCAATAACTGTCTTCTACTGCACTGCGGTTTTGCAAATATCAACCATCCTTGAGCAATGAATTAATGTGGTATGGAACAAAGAATCTGAACATATATATATATATATATATATGAAACTATTATTTAAAATGGCCGATGGATTTGTACTTATAGCCGAGCAAATTGAAATCTATATTTGTTGATCTACATACAGAGTGTATTATAATTTTTATCAAGTAATTGCACTGTCCTTCCGGACTTACTTTTCAAACCGACATATCAACTCCACAAACATTACTTCAAAAAACTAAATGAGTATGCACATGCAGGACTCTCAGCCTTACATGGATTGAGAAACACTATTCTGAGGAGTTTAACTTCTGATTGACTGTGGCTTACCATTTCTTCGGAGAGCGGATTCTTCCCAGTAAGCTCACACTGCTTCATCATTATGCGTTGAAGTTCATCAATCTGCCACTGCATCGTCTTCTTCTGTGCTTCGATCATGTTTTCCAGCTCAACCACTTCATCCATTCTGTCCATCTCACCTGAAGTTTTACCTTTACTATCAAATACAGACTCGCTTGACTTCTTCCTCCTTGCGGTCTTCCTACCACGAAAGGGAGAGCGAGATCCGTCGAAATAGGCAGAGAGGGTAGGTAAGGCAGGAAGAGAACGACCAGAGGACGAGGGCACATCCCAGAAATGGCCTGGTCGAGCAGAAAGTAAGGAAGTTTCAGAATCAGCTCGAGGAGCCTTGGGTGACAACAGACTAGGTTCTAGACGAGCTGGCGCTTCTGATTTTGAGATGATAGCGTCGGCAGACCCTGGGGTAGCTTGAATAACGGGAGGTTCAGGTGAATAAGGAGGAGCATAAGCAACAGGTGAAACATTTCCAGAAGGTGCAGAAGAATCACGGGGAGGAGAAGACTGTCCATTGACAGATGAGTGCAATTCCATTTCAGATACTAGTGAAGGTGATGAGAGGGGAGGGGCCTGAGTTGGAAGATGCAAGAACCCTATCTGTTTGTTTCCTTCAGACGCCTCTACCCGTGAGAAAAGAGGAAGCGCTTGAACAGCAGAAACAACAAGAACATCTGCAGAACAAGTATTTGATAGATCGGCTTGAGCTTCAGGCAGGTCTTGTGCAAAACTAGAGTGAGATTCCGTCTGGAACTTCTCAACATGTATAACCGCAGAACCCTCAGCAGTTGAGGAAGCCACTTCGTGGTCAGCTACACCAGAGAATCTTCCGGTGCCGTAAGAGCCCAGGGCTGCCAATTCTGGCAGCTTGACAGCCGAGTTCTCATCCCGAAGATGACCCGAATCTAACGAACAAGATTCACCCATAGTCAGAGTCGAGGGGAAAACTGGAACGTCTTGCCCGACATCATCATCACCAGATACCGCAGGTCTCTCATGTATATTTTTAGAAAAATCGACCGGGGAACTGGACGGGCTCAGGCCCTGAGCACGTTCAGCTGCAGGAGGTGAGATGCGCTCTGACGGCACTTGAAGGGAATCAGTGCCAACAGCCACACTAAAGAAGCAGGCTTCTTCTTCCGAGCTAGGTACATAGGTCACTGCACTTTCCTCCAACTCGGTCGTTTTAGTGTCCTTGTCACCACAAGAATTAACATCCGAAGTTACAAGAGCTATTGCTGACGCTGTACCCTCGACCTCAAAAGGTGAACTGGTTTCGTTCCCGCCACCAGTTGCATCTAATACTGACAATGGTGTCACTGTAGTGTTGGTACTCTGGGAGTTCGAAGCAACATCAACGGGATGATACACAACTCTGTCAGAAGGTAACATGTCGGGCCCCGAAGCCACAGGGCAATTCTCATAGTAAGTAGAGCCAACAACCTCGAGCGTACGGGCATTCATGGATGTCATGGGGAAAGATAACGAAGCTGCAAAAGAAACCATGTTACTAGTAGCCTCGACTGGAGTTTGTGCAGAAGTTTCGAAGACGGAAGGATGAACTTGGTCATTTACAGTTTCGCCAAGAGTAGGATCAACTTGCGCATGTACTGGGGAGTCGGAGTCTGTGGATGCAGGTACAGCGCAATCATATTGAACTTCAGCAGAGACAGAATCAACAGGTCCGTATGCACCAGAGTCCGCTTCAGTGTGTGTGTTGGCCCCTTCAGAGGTAAAATTGCCAGGATCTGAAGAGTTAACGGGGTCAGGTGGAGGACTCATGGAAAGTTCTTGAATGAATTGCAGTTCTGTGCGCAAATCCTCGCGCATGGAACTTATGTCAAGAAGATTGTCCTCGGGAGGCTTCTCCACATCATTAGAAGAACCTCCCAAGGAGGCCAAAACATCAGCAGACAGTTCCATTCTTAAGTCTGTACTGAATTCGATCCCAGGACGTAATGCGTAGGATTCTCGTCCAATGTCCGGTGTCATGTCTAAGGAACTTCCATAATTCTGTTCTGGCATTTCGGCCAAGCCTTCATTGATCTCATTTGGTACAGAATATGTACACTCAGTCCTAGGCTCACCACCTAATTCCAATACACTTCCAAACGACGAACTCTCACCGGCACCTTCATGAACATCTGCTTCCGGTTCCATTAATCAGACCAGACGCTGGCTTCCTTCTTTGATTTGTTTGTTTATACAAGAGCCAGATGATTTGTTAGATGCGCTACTGTCAAAGTTCTGCAACGCGCATCCATGAGTCGCATGACTCGTGAGAAAGCATTAATATGAACGCTCCTTGCTTCAAGTTGTGAATCTCCCTGTATATAAACAAACAAACAAGTGGTCAGGTGTCCACTTCAGCGAAGACAAGAGACAGCTTAAGTCAGTAGATACACGGGCCTTCAAAATCATAGATACCCCTTCAAGTAGAGTATATAGTACATCACTTCTCAAATGCGAGTAAACGAAATGAAGACAATATTTATGAAATCTGCCTGGCATAACTTGGTATAAGTAAGACTTATGAAAACATTCCCTTGCCAAGGCAACAATATTATACCAGGCATACTTCAGTACTCTCGTCGGACTTGAAACCTAGTTTCCAGTGGCATCAGGTCTCCCACTTCTACTCTCTTTCATCTTTTTAGATTACACAATTCACATCTCATCGATCTTCGAATACCAAATAAGCTGAACAAAGATTTCTGATATATTCCACCCTCTACCTATTGGATCTCTAGACACACAAGTATCCTTGATTGCTAATAGTGTGGTTATATTTGGCAATAAAGCCTCTCTGAACCAACCCAAACCACACAACACAAACCATAAACATAACAATAAGACGATAACAACATTAACTAGACAGTTCCTCTAAAAACAAATCCTTCAAAAGATATCTTCACATCTGGTCCTACAACCTTCTAATTTGACTCTTATGTGTTCTAAATCCCTCACTCCTTTTCTTTCTTCACATAACAGATCTGGCCATGCTGGTCTCAAAAGTTTGAACTCTACTTTACAGAGTTTTCTCAGTTTGCCCCCACTGCTTTCGGTCTTTCTGAACTTTTCTGTTCTCTGCTTCCTCTCGTTTCCTTGGTCCTCATTTCTGGTCTTTGGAGTCTTGACCTTCAGGTGCATTCCATAAATATCAAACGTGCCTACAATTATCGTTAATGCCCCTCCAGCAAAATACAGAAAATAGAAACATAAACTTTGTGAAGATGACGTAAAACACTGTTAGGCAGATCAGTGAAGTGTGATTTTCTACAATTAGGGATAGAGAAGAACTTTCAGAAGGATGCTATCGCTCATTAACAACCCCAAACACCACTTAATTTCTCATTGAGTTTTATGCTCAACACATAAACACGTTTTTCGTGAGAAGATATCCTGCAAGCTTTTCTTTCTTCCTTTCAACGAAAATGTCATTGGCAAATCTCAATGGGGATGCGGTAGACCCTCCACATCGATTTCCATACCACCATCTTCTTCTATTGTTACGCATAGAATATTAACAAATACATTGGAAGCTATCGAAGAAGAAGTCAATCTCATACTCGTCATTGATCAATATCAGACGCTTCAAATTAATAGCCAATAACCAAGACTGTTCTATTGGAATTGTAGTAACAGTGGTACAACAGCCTCAACAAATTCGATAAAATGCCTAGCCCTCCATATGACCCTCGAGTGCCAATTGGGGATAATAAATTTGATTCCCATACAGAATGAAATGAGTGTCTTGTTTGAGCACATACATGTCCCAGAAACTACATATTTTAACATCATCTTAAACAAATAGCAAGTGCCAAGCCCCATATCGCCAAAACAAACGTATCAACTGCCTACAGACAAAGAGATAAAGAGGACATGGAATCACTACAGTAGTCTCCCTCTGAAGTACGCAACTTGAACCTGCGCGATCTGTGCGTATTTCGCCGGTAGGCAAAGTATCACAAATATAAAACGAATAGACGATGAAGATTGCTGAAACGGCGATGGATGATGATGGCGATGTTAACACTAAAGAACTGAATGCTGGTTTAAAAAACGCAGTTATAATCCAGGATTTCGCGTCTCTTTATCAGCAGGTTCTCGACATTGAGGATCAGCTGCTCTGCCTTGAACTTCAAACAGAAGCATATGAAACATTCGATGAGCTTAGGAAATCGTGTGAATCATTTCAAGGCAAGATCCGAACGGTTGGCCTCAAAGCCAAACGCAAAAAACTTCAAAATCTAAGCCAAATGAAGTATCATGACATGTTCGATTGATAAATCTTCAACCCCAGATTTTTTTGCAAAAAAATACGTAATTAACCTGGATGCGAAATTAATCGGGAGGTTAGTGCACTATACATGAAAAAAAAATCACCTAAGAAATTTGACTATTCTTCTTAAAACAACTTGACCAGGCAGACTTCTTGGAGGATAATCAAAACATACCAGTTATAGCAGGACACAATAAAAACATTTCACAAAACTGTCCACTCTGTAGTGTTCATACACCTCGCATTATAACATATGTAAGTCACATCAAACATCAAAACACATATATCTTCAAACACCAACACAAGAGTACCACAAGTAATCTTCTCCACTCTTTTCCAATCTGAAAACATACACAAATACAATCAGCTACATTCAGCTAATAACTATAACCATGGTTTAATAACAGATTATAATGGTGAAAAGTTGCAGATGGATTGCGAGGTGGAATTCAAATTTTCGGGGCCTGAGGCGCAAAGACCGGAAACAACACGCAGGACCTAGAGAGCAACGAGAGAAGGAAGTAAGGCCAGCCCACCCTGCCGGCCCAAGGGGGGAGGGCAAGCGGAAGGCAGGCGTAATCCTCCTCCAAAGCGGGGCAAGTAGGGTCCGAGGTCGAAACAATCGATATACATCACGGCCATGTGGAGCCAATCAAACGGCGGATGGGACACGACCACCAGTTGGCAGTCGGATCGCCCGCCGCAGAACTAGTAAGCCACCTAAACAGGGAGCAGACAGAACCAAACACCGAACAGCCAGGGTGAAGGCTCACGTAACTAGCCAAACCCACTTTGTGATTCAAAGACTCCACGTTCCCGCACTAAACCCTCTCCCCACAGCCACATTTTAGAGCCACAACTTTCAACTCTACCCTTGAACCGCAAGTCTCCAAACGGAGCAGTCGGCCCTATCGGCAGTTCCTCCTCGAACGGCGATAACTGCACAACACCTACATTCGCGCTATCTATGTCGTGACCACTCTATTGTATAAAACAGATAACTACACAAAGTAGATTTCTTGGCATTTGATAAAATAACCAGCCAGCATCTGTACTTGCTTGTACTAGGCAAGCAAGTACGGTTTGAAGTTTTCAAGTTTTGTTACCCGACATACACATTCCCACCGCCAACCGTAAGCCTTTTGTTCAAAGCTTGGGATGTGGAGACAACGGAGTGTTCATAGCCTCAACAGATATAATAATCATGGCAAGTACTATTTTAGCATTATATTTTGCCTCAATCACAAATGAAGTCATCTTGATTACTATCAATCTTCATGTCTATGACCTTTGACATTAAATTCAAGTCCTTACAGGTTGAACCCTCTAGCTTAGTAACATCATATATGTTTGATGTCACGATTAGCATGTCATCAACATACAAGTCAGAATATGATGTCACCGTGGCGGAGTAGATGCCTGAAAGACTGGCAAGGTTGAGAGATATGGGCGGTAAATTGTAGGCTTGGAGGTGGTATTATGTCTCTCGGAAGCTGTGTGGAGATATTCGTGGGGGCATGCTTCGCTTGGCGGTGGAATTATGTCTGTCGGGAGATGGACTTATGCCTATCGGCAGCTGTGTGGAGACATTCGACGGGGCATACTTGGCTTGGAGATGGGATGATGTCGGTTCGGAGCTGTATGGAAACATAGCGTCTGTTGTCCGAGCCTTGCTCAGCCAAAGCGATCGGACGAAAGAATTTGGACGCGGGAGCGCAGGTGAAAAATCGTGACAAACAGAAGGATGGTGTCGACTGGGAGGGATGGGCGCTGCACACCCGATTTGATTTTGATCCAACGACACGGAGCTAATGGATTTCGGGTGGACTTGATTACAGACACCATCCTTATGTTCAGCGGAAGGTCGCTCTTTTTGCCACGAAGTACCTTATGCATACTAACGTTTGCATAAGGTACTTCCAGGAATCGCTCAGCGAAAACGTTGATAGTCCAAAAGGACAATCAATGCCAAAGCTCCAAGGACCTAAGTCAGATGCTGCCTACCAAAAGGAGGAAGCCCAAGTGAAATAAACAATGAAACTATTTGAATCATAGAACAGAGATTCAACCTTCACATGAATAAATAATTGTTGGAACGATGCAGAAGGAAAAATCATGTGAAACTATAGAAGATGAAGAATACGAGGCAGAGAGGAAAAAAAAACCACTGTGTCACTCTATACATCATCCACATCGTACGGATTCTAAGGCAGTTTGAAAAACATAACTGCTACTCTGCACTGATGTAGGGCAGCAATGAAACGTAAGGGTTAAATCTAGGACAGCATAGATTATGATCAAAGGTAAATAGAGAATGAAGATTCTTCAATGAGAGACCATGTACTCCATTTGCAAGTGAGTAAACAAATTTAGGAAGGATGCAAAAGAGGTAAAAAGGTAAATGGCAGTAGGAAAAGAGAAGAGACTGGTGGAGCTCTTTCATAATCGGCTATGTACTCTCTATCCGTAAATGCCTTTACCTTGCAATGTAGAGGCATGCCTACTCTATCTCATCCCTAGTCTAGCGATGCGATAAAGTAAGCAAGCAGGAGATGTAGACCTATAACTCGCGATCAATCGCACCCGGAGAATGTAACAGTGAAAACAAAATATGAGGTCTCTCAGAAACAGCAGGAAGGACATAATGTGCACATGTGATTACACTAGAATCGATGCAAATGGGAAATGCAAATAGAAGTGAAAGGATTATGACAGGTAAGAACAAGTTAAGAACAAAGAAGTGATAATATGTAAGACTATTATATACGGACTGCTTGTAGAGTCCAAGTAACAAATATGCTGAGGAGTGAGAACTGACAGCATGAGAGAGAAGGTGGTAAGGCATTTTAACAAAAAAGTTTCAAAAAGAAGTGGAGTCGCTTTTCTTCAATTATATACATACATGAAGGAAAAGCGAATCCACTCAGGAAGCAAAAGTCCATGTAGAAAAAAAAATAGCAGAACACCTGATGAAGAACGAAAGGACTATATTGTGATTTCCTTAGAAAACAAGCTGTCGAATATCTTTTCGACTAACAAGTAAATAATTAGAAATTAGCAAAGAACTCAGCGAAGTAGATGACTAGAGGAATACCGATATCTTGATAACAGACACCTTGACAAAAACGAACGTTCAAGTTGCAGAAAATTCAGGCGTGTGATGATTAGAGTAGCTGTGAAGATATGAAACTGTCAGTTCTGCTATAAGGATTCCATCCCCACAGAATGGAAATTTAAAGGTGAGTACTGAACCAGGAAATCAGTGGCTCCATTCACAATCAGAGCATCAATCTCGAGAAGAGTATTCAGCCCACCACGTAGGTTGGGTTCCGATCTGTAACCTACGGCAACCAAAAAAATTTGTGACCTCGCGAAAAATGGTACTGGGAGATGGTAGTAACGAGATGAACTATACAGGATTTCAGCTCATGCAAGTAATTTTCGTACAAAGTGTAGTGTTAAGAACAAGGAGAGGAGGAAATCTCCGATGCCAACTCGGGCGAATGTAAGGAGTACGATATGCCAGAAGCGCGGCTAATCAAACGCGGAGCATCAATGCCGAGAAGGGTCTTCGGCCCACCACATAACATTATGCCGGTTTGTGACCTCCGGGCTGACTCTCACTCAAATGTACCTCTGATGGTTTTTCTTCATCAGTCAAAGAACTGAGCTTACCTCGTCGGCAGGGCATTGCAATGTGAATTACTGGGGAGAAGTCTTGCAGAGGCAAAGAGGCTACCTCTTGAAGAAGGTGAGACAATGTAGGAAGAGTATCTTCAAAGACAGATTTCCAGTCATCATTGACGTAAGGAAGCCGGGCCTTAAATTGCCTCGTTATCTAGTTAGACAGAGTTGAAACATCGTGGTTAAAAGAAGCAGATATGATTCTAGGTTTAAGTGGATGTTTAGCAAGAGCGCGTACGATACTCACTACAAGCAGTACTAACAGAGAATGATTTTGGAGGTGTGACGATATACTCAAGCCCAAGTCAAACCTACAAGGTAGCTACAGAACTGAAAGGAATGTACTCGCACATGTAAAGCGAAACCGTGGAGGAGAAACCTACTTGAAGCAAGTTTTGAGCAAGACCAGTCAGGGCAGTCCAGACCGAAATAGGTTTTAATAAACAGCAAGGGCAAAAAAGGAGTCCAGAAGAAAAGAACGAAGGATAAGCATGAGACAGTGCAGCGGAAGAGTATGTTTACAGGTGTTTACAGTAAGCACGAGAATACCCATGAAGGTATATCACAAATATATTTACGTAGCAAGATCGAGTACATTTACTCAATACGAGCGCCGAATACTGTGACTGAAATTAAAAGGCAAGCGAGGAAAATGAAGACCTATTGTGACATTCTGATTACAAAGTTTTGCACATGTAAAGCAAAAGAAGAAAATCAACAGTAACATACTCGAATGGAGCGTGAAACGAGTCAATCCAGTGTAGTCCAGTCCGAGGCAAGTTGAATGCAGCTTGAAGCAAGTCACTCAATTGCAATCCAGTCCGACGCAAGTTGAACGAAGAAAATTAGCAGCAATCGTGTGTACCATTCCTGCGCATGACGTCGGAGCAACCCATACGCAGCGCACAGCGAACTAACGAACAGACTGGGGGGTACAGAATTCCAGGTCTCGTAAAGGTTCCCAGGAAGGGATGTGCAGGGGTGGATTCCATCGATGCTGAACAGAAAACCAGAGACTACAAGCCACGAAAAGAGTGGGCGTCCATCAACTCGCTCCCGCTGCCCCCAAGATCTCATCAAGCCCCTCTAGGAATCTATTGTATGGATGAGGAATTTTACACCTCGAGTTTCGATTGAAGGATATCGAGCCAGGCTTCGATCCAGTTCATGAGTATGACGAATCACGAATATGTGGCAGAATGAAGGAGAGATGACCCCCTGGCATATTCCCTGCTCAATAGATTGTCAACAGATTGACTCGTCGGCCGTTAATAAAGACCGTACTCTTGGTGATGTGATATACCTGTTGCACCAGCCTCGGAATTTTCCCATGCCGACATTGCCCAACGCCTACGACAACCCATAC